TCCACCAAGTTGGAATACATAATCATCTATGTCACACTTAATTTTAAAAGGATAAATTACTCTTGCACTTAAACTTAGATATTACAGTTAATGACTTGATATGCATCAAAATATCATCATCCACAAGAATTATAAAGTCACTAACATAAGAATTAAGAGTATAGTTCATTACCTCCAAAAATATCTTAGGTGTCCTAGAAAGGCCAAGAATGCGAATAAATCAATTATACATACCATACTTGGACTTATTTACTGATGGAACAACATCACCTTGTATTCTTTTATACAATGATTCCAGTTTAGCAATGGCTTTAGGGAACTCTGTGTCATAAACCTGTAAATAAGAATCAAAGTAGTCAAAAGATTCAATAACAAAGAATTTAACCAAGCTCTTATCTTCCACCATCCAACAAGAATTGATTTCGCCAAATTCATGTTTTAATCCAATTGGATCCTTTGCCACCATCTCTTGCGCCTCACCTCCCCTTTCAAATGGTCTTTCAACACGTGGCTGCATAAAATCACAAGAACTAAAACAAGAAAGAGTTAATGGGTTAGGAAGTAAAGAATTTTTTTTCTTGCTTATACTCTCTTTGACTTTTATCAAAAACTAACTTTTTCCTCATCCTTATCCTCTTCTTTCTCACTAAGGTTTTCTTCTTTTTCCTCACTCAAACCATTTTTATTCTCTATCTCTACCTCAAAGCCTTTTTCTATCTCATGGCCTTCTCTCTTTTCTTTCCTCTCAAGCTCACTCTTTTCATTCCTTGACATCCCATTCTCTTTATTCAACGCAACCTCTCATTTTTCCTCTCTTGGGATGTCAATATGAACTCCCTTACTCCTCTCATTCTTTTCTCTCTCATATTTTTCCATATTTTCTTTAACAGTCTTTTCATCTTCACAAATTTGTGAGGGGGTCAAAGGTCCAAGAATGAGTTTCCTCCCATTAACCTCAAAAGAGTATATATTTTTTTCATGTTATATGAAGCTCTTCTATAGTCATACCATGGCTTTCCCAACAAGATATGATAATTATTCATGGGAATCACATCACACCAGATCATATCCTCATATCTTCCAATAGAGAATAGTAATAACACTCTTTTATCTACCTTTACTCCCCCAAACATATAGGGTTCAATATGCTCAACATAAGGCAAGTTCAATTTCTCAACCATATAAGTGCTAATTGAGTTATAGCCAAACTCTTTGGCAATTCTAAGGACACAAATCGCAGACATCACTTTAGCTCTTATTTGAAAAATAACTTTACCATTGTATTCCTTCCCTTTCGCATGTTGTAAGTTTGACTTTTCAAATTATTGAGTCATAGCTGTGAGCACGTGATTTTTGCCCTATACGAATTACTCCCAAAAATTTCAAAACAAAATAATTTTTCCATTATTTGCGATTTTTTGTGGATTTTAGTGCCATTTTCTGTTACTGTGTGAATATTGTCTGTGCCTGTTTATTTTTATTTAGTAATGAAAAATACAAAAATATATTGTACTTACATTTAGGATTTAATTTGACATTTTTGAATTAATTAATAATTAGGTGTTTTATAAAAATGAAAAAAAAAATCAGAAAAATAGTTTATTCTTGTTTTTTTAGTTTAGTCTTGAATTTTAGTAGTTTTTCCTTTGATTTGGTACTTAATTAATTGAGTTAATTATTATCCCGAGCTGGAGTCAAGCCTCAGTACACTCATCTGGAAATGACATGTTGTGCCCTAACTTGGGTGGCTCAGAAATTGAAACATTATTTGTCATCCTATACTACTTACCTCATTTCGTGCTTGGATCCGTTGAAGTATATCTTTCAAAAGCCTATGCCGACAGGGAGACTTGCGAAGTGGCAGATATTGCTCACAGAGTTTGACATCATCTATGTGACTCGGACTGCTATAAAAGCCCAAGCATTGGCCGATCATTTAGCCGAAAACCCGGTCGATGAAGATTACGAGACATTGAGAACTTATTTTCCCGATAAAGAAGTGATGCATATCGATGAACTGGAGCAAATTGAAAAACTAGGCTGGAAACTTTTCTTTTATGGGGCTGCCAACATGAAAGGAGTCGGAATAGGAGCTGTGCTTATTTCTGAAACAGGGCATCACTATCCTGTTACGGCTCAGCTTCGGTTTTATTGCACCAACAATATGGCTGAGTATGAAGCCTGTATTTTGGGTCTAAGGCTAGCTGCAGACATGGATATCCAGGAAATCTTGGTCTTGGGAGACTCGGATCTTCTGGTACATCAAATTCAAGGAGAATGGGAAACGCGAGATTTGAAGCTCATACCGTACCGACAATGTTTACATGATCTTTGTCAACGGTTTCGATCAGTGGAGTTCAGGCATATTCCAAGGGTCCATAATGAGGTCGCCGATGCTTTGGCTACCCTGGCATCAATGTTGCACCATCCGGACAAAGCTTATGTCGATCCTCTGCATATTTAAGTCCGAGATCAGCATGCTTACTGTAACATGATTGAAGAAGAACTTGATGGCGAACCATGGTTCCACGATATCAAGAAGTACATCAGAATGGGGGATATATCCAGTGCAAGCCACGGGGGATCAAAAGAGAACAATTCGATAGTTGGAAAATGGATTCTTCTTAAGTGGAGGAGTTTTGTATAAGAGAACACCAGACCTTGGATTATTAAGATGCATAGATGCTAGACAAGCTACGGCTGTCATGTCCGAAGTACATTCGGAAGTCTGCGGACCACATATGAGCGGATATGTGTTGGCAAAGAAAATTCTCCAAGCAGGCTATTATTGGCTTACCATGGAGCAAGATTGTATCAATTTTGTGCGATCTTAAACTGTTGACATACCTCTTCCATCAAGTTACTGTTAAGATTAGCACCATTATCTGTGATGATCACCTTTAGGATTCCGAATCGACAGATGATATTTGAGTGAACAAAATCGACCACTGCTTTCTCCCGGAACAAGAGACTAATCAAAATTCTTACATTTAGCGACCGTGCTAGAACCACGGAACTCGGGAATGCCTAACACCTTCTCCCGGACCATTAACAGAATTCCTTACCCAGATTTTTGTATTCGCGGACTGTATTACAGAGTCAACCGTTCCTCGATTCGGGATTTTAAACCGGTGACTTGGGACGCCATAAATCTCCCAAGTGGCGACTCTGAATTTAACGTAAATAATCCCGTTTCGATTTTCCTTCAATTGGAAAAACTTCCTTGTATTTATACCCTTTATGGGGTGTAGTAAAAAGGAGGTGTGACAATAGCTCACCTCCTTTCTTCATAACTACCTGTTTGAAACATCTTGAACAAAGATTAAACTAATTATGTCTCTCTTAAATTTGGCTTTTTCCTTCTAATATTCTCACCTCTCTTGCCTATATCCACTCAATGCAACTCTTGGTCGTTAATCTTTAGATTTATTAATAAATCGTTCTAGTCACAACCCTTAGTGATAAGAATATGGAGTTAGAAAAAGAAAGAAAAGTGAATGACCAAACCTAGGAAGAATAAGAATTGGTTAGTAGGAAAAAAAAGGAAAGAATTTTAGAAAACTCAAAACCCACAAGAATAAGGAAAGAAGTTTCCTTAATCTTCAAGAACAAGGATCCCCTCTTCTTGTTTCCTTTCTTGACTTGGAAACCAAATAATACTTGAATTCTAAAAATAACAATGATCAATAATACTTTTTTGGGCTGATTTTCATTTTTTTTTTGTTTTTCTTTTTTTTTTTAGCCTCCCAAGATTATCAAGATTGAAATCTTGATTAGTCTATTCTCTGATACCACTTGATAACAACACGATAGGGGATTCAAGAATTGCTAAAGAAAAACAAGAAAATCAAGAAACGTGCGGAAGCTAAAAGAAAATAAAGAAACGAAAAAAGACGGAAAATTAAAGATAGATTGAATTCAAGAAAGGGTTTCTTGAATTCAAGAAGTCTATTCTTGAAATTGAATCCTAACAATAACAATTAGCTAACAAAGAACTAATCGCCTTTGGTAGAGAATTAAAAACAAGAGATAGATTGTGAAACCCGACCCTTTAGAATAACATGAACAACAATAAGCCTAAACTTATCACCTTTCTTGAATACTTAGAAGTGATCTAAGATTTCGAAATAAAGTCCTAAACTACTTTGGGCAACAAGTCCAACTACCTTAGGAAAAGAAAAATACTAGGAAGCAAAAACCAAGTCATTCTTGGAAAATAATTTCAAAGATCTTAGTAAAAGGAAAACATAATTTTAACTAACTAGGAAAGCAATAAATATAATCCCATAATATATGGAAATAAGTCCCAAATCAATCTTGGATAGAATCTTGAAAATCTTGGAAATCTTGAAGGAAATTTGCAAGCAACTTGGCACCAACTTGGACTCAACATCTAGCACAACTGTTGTACCATTCTTGGACATCAAGTAAGTCCTTTATATGCTATAAAAACGTGGCTTTATATAGGACTTCATGGGCTGCAAGTTTGGACACATTTTAGGTGCTGAATTGGTCCAACAGTAGCCTAATTTGGACCTTCTTTAGAGAATGTTTCTTGGAATTTAATCCACCTCTTATTGGACATGAATTTGGTCCATAAAATAATTATAACACCTAGATAACTCGTATCCTTTATCCTTAAGCTCTTCACCTAGATAACTCGTATCCTTTATCCTTAAGCTCTTACTCCCAAATAACAACTTCTTTGATCGTTCCTAAAGTCCAATGACCTTGTTTTGCAACTTTTTAACTTGAGATCTTGTTAAAGGCCCTCTTTGAGATTCCAAAGCTTCATCCTTGTCCTTGAATAGATTTGATCTTCCTAAGATGCTATCAAGAGTAGCCGCCCACCCAATCGTTTTTAGCATGAAAATATGATAGTAGTAACATGAAAAATACAACGGCCATTAGCATCTTGACCTTTTTTTAGACCTATGAAAGTAGTAAAAACTTATGAATGATGAAACTGGAAAATTTGAAGAATAACATTGGATGAGTTCTTTAACGACAAACAACACAAATTACATTCAGGAAAAAAAAAAGGAATGAAATTCATCAAGCTGAGTTGACATAACAATTGAAGAGCTAAAGTAATACCAGAATGAAATGTGTAAAAGTAAGCAAACAGGTGAAAAATGAGCCGCTGCAGGTACCATTCCGTGCACAAAAGTTGTGTACATGTACACGAAGATAGCTGCAGTTTACGCTTATTGGTTTAATCATTATTATAAGGACGAAGATTTCTCGTTCAAAGACTCCTTAACAGCCTTTAGGAGAGCAGGCATCAGCTTTTGATTCGTAACGATAATGCCTTCATGTAAATCAAGGTATCTTCCCCTGGAGAAGTCCAAAGTGTTTCCTGCAGCATCTGAGACAACACCTCCAGCTTCTGCAAATTAGATGACATATATCTTATGATTAGCAAAAAAATGCCAGCTTAACCATTAAAAATAGCCTACAGATGTATAATCCATGTATAATATCTGTATATATATATAACGGCTAGGAAAAGTAAACAGTGAATCCGGCTATCTATTTGTATAAAGATCCCATAAATAAATATCAACCACTTTGGCCCGATTCAAAGTAGCTATATATGTCAAATCTTCCAATTTAGCCCATCCAAAGTAGCTCAATTTTATGAGATTTTGCATTCAAAAACTTCCTCAGTAATGATGAGATTTTGCAGATGTCCGTTTAAATGGAAAATCAGTGAGCCCACAAGTCTGCATCCGCCTCATCAACTTCAAATGAAACACTAATCACAAGGCTGAGAGAAAGGCTTTTCGTCCAGATACAGAAAAACTGAAAACCTTTCAAGCTACATGAGGTGGGCTTACACATTTTTTTCTTATTAGGATATACTTTTCAAGGATTGATCACTATCTTAATTAAGTTCGAGATTAAGGAACCTGGACAAAAGTGAATCATCAAGTGGCAGGGTATTCAAGAGCAAGGCCAAGTGAAACCAAGGATAACTGATGAAAAGAGCAGAAGAAAACACAGTGGTAGAGTAACATAAAGTGGCCAAGAGAGATTAGGGGTACAATCAGATCTGCCAAAAAAAGGGCGACTTGATCTCTCATATAAATGAGGAGTCGAAACCTTGAGAGGGAGACTTTTGAACCTGAGATACCCTGACGGGCGGACTGATAACAAGCATTAAAAGGTATGTTTTGCTTCTATACTGCTGATATTGACAAGTGAAGAAAAGATCAATGTTTGAGTTCAAAAATTTGATAGATTTGGGATATTTTATGGTGCTACTAGGTCCGTTTGTTTCATTTCATTTATCTGAGCATGAATACTGATGATAAGTGATGATTTAAGTGAAACAAAAAGAAGAATTAAATTTAAAAATGTAGAAAACATAATATGGACCTGCAACAACAAGATATCCCGCTGCATGATCCCATATTTTCTCACGGTAGCCCTTATGAGGAAACCGCAGATATATTGCTCCATCTCCACGGGACAAAGCACCATACTTTGCCTGGCTATCTATTCGAACTGGAGGCGCTTTGACACCAAGTTTCTGTTTACAGAAGAAGAATATAGACCTTGTTTAGTCATACATATTACTAAGAGAAAACAAAAACAAAAAAGAAAACATTGAAAGAAAACTCAAACCTTTGCTATCGAACTAGATAGGTCATGCAAAGAATGTGCTGCTTCAAAAGATTCAAAAAAAGATGCATCTTCGGGATTGTCTAAATCAGTTACATGCACCTGAAGACAGTAGAGCAACCTTTCAGCTGATAAGGCATACAGGATTTGAACTAGTTAGTTAAAATTACTAAATACTCGAACAGAAACCTTTATCGGCGTAGATCCATCAAGAGACTGCATGTAAGTTCCAGAACCAACTTGGGCATAAAAGAGGCAACCAACTTTTTCTTGAGGATCCTGTGGATTGTGGGATGCCACAGAAGATAATGGAAGATTTGGACAGGCTAGGACGCCCAAAACCGCCTTCCCTTCATCTAGCAGTGCCAATGCAATTGCATATTGGTCTCCCCTTACAAACCTACAGAAAGATTAAGACCTTTTGAGAGGGCTCATAAATATGTTTTGTTTAATCAGATGTACTTACTTGAAATTAAAGAAGCAAAGGTTCAGAAGTAGACATAGTAAAAGTTTCCACAAACATGTGAGATAGACAGTTTTATATCAACAACAAGGTGGAACATCCCGGTTATCGGTTGTGGATGACCATAATTGGTAATGGCATAAATTCACTGGGTAGCATAAGCATATTTAGGTAATATCAAAATCTACAAGCAACAGAAGTCATGGTATTGGGTGAGGGGAGAAGGAGAGCTACCACAAACTTAATTCTTATTTTGATTTGAAATAATTTACCCACTAGCACAACCAGGTATGTTTCCCTTTTTTTCAATAAAGAACCAAGTCACCTTAATTTTAGTCGTATTTTGGGAAGTCTGTTGGTTTTTTAAAAGATGGGCAGCAAAAAAGATTAAAAGTATTGATTGAAAATGCCTCTCAATAATTTTATTAAGCATAACAAGGCTTTAAATAGCCAATTAGGAACATAATGTGCAGAAAAATCTGCATAACAAGAATTCAAAAAAACTAAAATATCTCAACAAACCTAAAAAATCTAACTGAAATTAATTCAAAAAAGTAGATTTATCCTAAAATTAAGCTAACTTATTATGCTAAAAAATATGCAATAGTGACTGAAGCAAATCATCAACACTCCTCCTTTGCTTCAGTTGCTCTAAAACAATTGCTCCTCCTCAATTACCGCTTCTGTTGTTTGTGCTTGAGGATAGTGTTGAGCGTCTTTGAACTTACACACTTTTGTAACATGGCCCGTTTGTTTGCAAATACCACATATTGCATCATGTCTCCACCAACAAAAAATTTCTAGGTGTGTTTTCTTTTTGCAATATTTGCAAAGAGGATAATTGACCTTTTCATTTTTGTTTTGTGCATAAAAAGCACCTTCAGTAACCATTTCTTGTCTAAATGCTCTTCTTTGTTCTTGTGCTTGAAGAGCACTTATTAATTCTGCAACAAAGATGGTAGAGAGATCTTTAGACTCTTCCAGAAAGGAAATTTTGGATTCAAATCTCTCTGGAACTGTCACAAGAATTTTCAACTATTCTGTCATCTTTAAAATCCTCACCAAGCAACCTGATTCTATTAACAATAGAAGAAATCCGATCAGAATACCTAGTGATAGTCTCGTCTTCTTACATCTTAAGAGATTCAAAATCCCTTTTCAAATTTAAAATCTGCATTTGTCTAACTTGATCACTTCCTTGGTACTCCTTTTTAAGCTTTTCTCCAGCTTCTTTTGCTGTCTCACATTCAATGATTTTAGAAAAAATTGAATCTGCAACTGAATTTTGAATCACAGTTTTGGCTTTGTATTTTTTTTTGATTTTTTTCTTCTGAATGGTTTTTAATTTGGGCAAGAGTAGGATTTGTAGGGAGTGGTTGTAATGGTCTATCTTCCATTACAACTTCCCATAAATCATAGGCTTTAAGATATGATTTCATTTTAACTGACCAAATCTGATAGTTCTCACCGGTGAAAGTTTGTAGGGCATTTAAAGAGAGACTGTTGTTTGCCATATTTGAAAATAGGTTTAAAAATTAATATTGGTTAACAATAATTTGAAAATGGTTTTTTTGGAAGAACTCACAGATCCCGTAAGATCAATGAGGCTCTTGATACCACTGTTGGTTTTTTAAAAGATGGGGCAGAAAAAAGTTTAAAAGTATTGATTGAAAATGTCTCAATAATTTTTTTAAGCATAACAAGGCTTTAAATAGCCAATTAGGAACATAATGTGCAGAAAAATCTGCATAACAAGAATTCAAAAAAACTAAAATATCTCAACAAACCTAAAAAATCTAACTGAAATTTGAATTCAAAAAAATAGATTTATCCTAAAATTAAGCTAACTTATTATGCTAAAAAATATGCAATAGTAATGGAAGCAAATCATCAACAAAGTCCTATATCATACTTTTGCATTGAGATTTACCGAATTGCAAACAAGGATAGTCCTTTTATTTATCTAGCAAAAACTGACATGCAAAATCTTATTTCCACTCACCCTTTAGTACCATCAATAGGATCCAACACCCAATGCTGACCAGAAGGACCCCCTTCAGATCTACCACTATCAATGGCAGCAAGCACATCTTCTTCAGATAATGGAGCATTACCATATGTTTCATCACTAGCAAGTGTTTCATTGACAAGCTTCATGATACGCTGTAATGTTTCTTTTCCCTCTTCTTTACGAAGGTCTCCAGAGTCCTAGAGAAACTTAGATTTAGAACTCCCATCCTTTAATTTGATGCAAAGAACATACATTTTCCACTGAAATGAGGAAACGAATATGCAGATAAATAATAAACTGCAAAGCAGAAATGAATTAAGGGAATGGAAAACATCACATAAAACAGAGGCAGACTAGTAATGACAACAAGAAGACTTTTCCTAAGACATCATAGCCGGTCAACTCTTTTTTGCTATGAGCTCTCTGGGGTTTTCCCTTAAAGATTTCATCAAATATTAGGAGTAAAGAAGCTAATCAAATCAAACGTATAGCTGGTTATGTTACAAGGAAAACGGACAGGAGGGAAAAAGTAATAAAGGAGAGCCTTTCAACTGCTCTAATTTCATGAAATGCTAAAAGATGATACCATGACCATTGTCCACTACCAAATTGATTCATTCATATTGTGCCCCAGGAAAAATATGCAAGTCCATATATCAATTCATCACTTGGGTTGGCTGTGATGCCCAGAATAAATTGGAACAGTTGACCTCCAGAGGTGCTGAGTGTGATTTCTGGTCACTAAAATGAAGAAAGTCCAAGAAGAAAAACCCAGAATGCATCCTTTATTAGCTGAGAATTGTTAACATTTCCGTTAGTCTGACAATATTTTCTGCCATCTTTTTCTTTACAAGTAATACCTTCCCTCGAATTAGATTAGCTATGCACACATCATTTTGTTGCAAGTGTACAACTTTTCAAAAATTCTTTCCAAGATTTCATTTGAACGATATCTTAATGAATAAACAATGAAGATAAACACAACATGTACTAAACAGCTAAGAGTTCAAACATTACCTCCTCAGCCACTAATGAAAATGATGCAGAATCCAACTCTTTCTGCAAAACAACGCTAACCACGGCCTGTGAGCCTGATAATCAAATGTAAGCCATTTTCAAAAGGAGAGGATAAATTGCAGGGGCTACGTCAACATGATAACAAAAGCATAAGATGCATATTAGTTTCAGAACATCAGTTTCTTCAGTGCAGCAATGAGAAGCATCTTGCTCCAAGGGAAAGACAGCGAGGAGGTGGAACATAAGAGAGAACGGAACGAAATGTCAAAGGAAATAGACTGGTCCCTGCCTATTACATCTTTGTTCTCTATTTTGAAATCTTTGCATTAGCTTGGAAGCATGTTATTTAAACGTCAAAGAAAAAGATGCTCACAATTTCAGGAAAGAACAAAATGAACATGCTAAAGATTGAAAGGCATTAAAAAGTCTAATTGACTTTCTAAAAGCTAATAAGTAACACTTAGTTGAAGTTATCTAGTTGCTAAACAAGCTTTTCTGGATAAGTACTACTAGTAACTAAACAAGCTAGTACTAGTAATAACTAATAAGTCATATGACCATACATCTTTCTACCAAATGACTTGCTGTTTTCATATTCTAGCTTTATTTGTATCTTTATAGAACTACATAACTGATCTAGTAAAAAAAAATGTTCAACCGTTCTAACAGGTAGCAGCCTACAACCCTAATTTAGATACACAGTCATCACCTATTATATTTGCAAAAATCATCATTGAAATGTACCCATCCATACATCAAAACTTATCTTCAATAATTGAAAATCTGACCCATTGTATAGGTAAGAGATGATTAGCTTAAAAGGATATTAATTGTATGTGTTGACTATGTATGCATTGAGAAAGAAACGTCTGAAATGTCAGCATCCCCATTGAGCCTAGCCCAGTATGGTTGGACTAGCAATCAGATGACACACAAAGTGCATATTGTGAAAGGATAAATGCGACCAACATCCGAATGAAGGCCCACGGGTCCCCTCTCTTAACTATTCAACAATATTGGTCATACAAACCATTACAAGAATGATGTCTTCACATCAGTCATCTGATGAAGCATACTTCCCATCAGAATCAACCAACTATACTGCAAATATCATCTAATAGGCCAAAGATTATTGCTGAAGGAATTATGAGTACTCTCTTAAAATTGAGTTCGATATGTTAAATAAAAGAGAAAAATGTGTTCTCCATCAATCAGCGTTTCACAAATAAAATGCACACATAAGGAGATGCATTATTATACCATAATCAGCCACTGTCACAGGAGATTTGTCAGACTTCGATTGAACATCTGCTTGCAACAGTGCTTTTTGGACTTTCTGCGGAAAATAGAGGAAGAGGTGTTAGCTGACTTCATATAGAATTGCCAAGAGGAATGCCAAAAATATAGATAGAACTGAAAATTTCAGAATCAATCCAGTTTAAATGTAATATCAAATTAGAAGTAGAGACCTTCTTCTCATGCAAGAGAGAGAGCCATGAACAACTCCCCCCTCCCCCAAAACCCGAAGAAATGACAAAAAAACATGAAAGCCTGCGATTCCAGAACAGATATACAGCAGATTTTAAGCTTTGATATTGTGCATTTTGGAGCATAATATGCTAGTAAATTGTACAGTTAAAAAGGCTTCATGATAGGTAATGGTCTGGTAGCAGTTCCAAGACCTAAAGTCTACAAGGTGATTAAACAAGGGATTTTTCTTTTCTGAAGATTTGGGAAAAAGAAGAAGAAACTTTACGAAAAAACATAACCTTTGCAGAAGGGGTCTTCAAATGGCAGAGTCAGTAAACTATCTTTTTTTGCATTGTTCAGTGGCTGCAGACATATGGCAAATGCTCCTATCAGTTTTTGGTATTAGCTGGACAACACCTCAGAACCTAAAGGAAGCAGTAGAAAGTTGGAGCTCCTGGGAAGTTGAAAGGACCATCAAAAAGACCTGGAAGATGATCCCAGTATGTATTTTTTGTATTCGGACAGAAAAAAATAGCAGATGTTTTGATGGCGTTTCAACTTGCTCCCTGAAATCTATATGTTTGATGAATCTTTTCAGTTGGAGTAACCTCTCCCCTGTAAATGATGTTATTCCTCTCCTATATTTCATTAGCTCTCTTACTTTGGCAGGAAAAGTTTTGGTATTGCTTAGCTCATGCTCTGATCTAGATTTTTGTAATTGGAGTTAACCATTACTATCTTTTGTACTCTCTTGCATCTTCTTGATGCCTTTACTACAACACCTTACTTCATCAAAAAAACATAAAAACCCATTCTACGTCCGTTTGCAGCAGACCTTAAGGAAATATCTTTATTATGTGACTCCAATGAATTAGAAGGATTCCCACCGGGGCTATTCCCTTTCCTGAAACTATTTCAAACCAACCAGGAAAATGAGATACTCAAGTTACGAACATTGTACTAGATTCATGAAAAGAATTGATCTTGCCCGTTTCTAGCCTATTGGAACCTTAGATGATTTTAAACATTACAGAATTTACCTGCTACAAAATATTTTCAAGAAACACATAAAGAAAAAGAAATAGAAAACCTACTGTAAAACACTCTTAATTAAGACTCAAAATCCACTATGCTTATTTCCAAATAGTACCATTGACCTCAAAGTAGATCAAATTTAGTGCTCGCCCATTGCAAGCATTTCTATCGGCCATTTTATAAAATTTCAAAAGGCTGCTGCCACTTGCTTCTTTAATGTCCTATTTTAGTCATATGGAGTATTTCTGACACTCAGGTATTAGATCAAAGCGGACTTTTACAAACAAACCCCAAAACTAATGCTTCAGAAGCAGAATTTTGCTGTACTAGAAATTTCCCCTCATTCCTATACAAAGATGAAAGCTTTCACTTTCTTGAAGATAAACTAAAGCCTGTTTACCATCCACACCATGCATTTCATCGGAATATCCATCCTAGAATTCTCAACTCTTATGTATGCAACAGATGACCTAAGATGTAAAACAAAATACCAATAATAATCTCATTACACAATTATCCAGCATATTTTGAAGTGGCGGGCTTTGGGGTCGTCCAGACCCATATCCGGTAAAAGTGGTAACATGGTTATCCCCACACCCACGCTTGCCCAGGGAGTCCTGCTTGTGCTCCTTCTTTTTGGTCCAGGCCAGGCACTTCATATGTCTTTAGGTTTTGATCTGAGCACTCGTCTAACTACTAAGAAAGCTCGAGGGACCTTTATTTCTGAGCTATTGGCTAGCAGTCTTATTTCTCTTGGTCAGGTCTAAAGGTCTAAGGGGAAGACCTGTCTAAAGGTCTAAGGGGAAGACCTTTTCTAACTCTTCAACTCCTGGTAATTGCAACCTCTTTCTGTCGAAAGAGAGTGAGCGCAAACCTTAAGGGGTTGTGATCAAGAAATGAATCAAGCATCGATCGTTCTAGCGATAAGGGTGCGGCTTAGGTCAACTAACACAAAAAAGATCCTGTTCAATAAGCCTTTGGGCTACAAACTCCATATGGGGAAGGAGCATTTAGCTCCCAAATCATCTGGAACTTCATGTCTCATACTACCAGTTTAAGGGTATCAAAATGTAATAACAACTCAGATAAAATCTTTTCTTTTTTTATAAGAGTGGTGTCCGCATCAGCTTGCGTGGATGCAGCTCTTCGGAGCGTAGATATATATGTAAGAACCCATTAAAATTCCAACAAATATTAGATTTGAGACCATAATTTTAAATGTCCAATAAGTTCAATGTCAAGAATCAAACTCATCAAGTTTAAATCTTAATCTGCCTCTGTCATTAATCACTAGGCATAATTATCCTAATAGAAAGAAAGATAGGATCTTTCTCAATTTCACATTCACAAAAGCACCACTTCGCAACAAAAATAAACCTGAACTAGTGCTTCACTTCTTTCTGTAATGTCTTATTTTAGTCATATGGAGTATTAGATCAAAGCAGACTTTTACAAACAAAACCAAAACTAGCGCTTCAGAAGCAGAATTTCGCTCCTTTACTAGAAACTTCCCCTCATTCCTATACAAAGCTGAAAGCTTTTCAGTTTCTTGAAGATAAACTAAAGCTTTACCATCCACACCATGCTTTTCATCCAAATAGTCATCCCTAGAACTCTCAACTCTTATGTATGCAACAGACGACCTAAAATGTAAAACAAAATACCAAAAATAATCTCATTACACAATTATCCAGCATATACTTTGAAATGGCGGGCTCTTGGGTCGTCTGGACCCCTATCTGGTAAAAGTGATAGCCTGGTTGCATGGGCGACGCTACATAGCCCTAAGGGTGGTCAACTAACCACCCTTTGCCGAAAAATTACACTGTATATATAGGTAAAATATTAGATTTTAGTGGTATATAACATATATTGAACACCCTTTATCGGAAAATATTTTTACTTCATTCAAGTTTGAACACCCAAGATGAAATTCCTGGCTTCACCATGGTTGTCCCTACACCCCACACGTGTCCAGGAAGTCTTGCTTGTGCTTTTTCTTTTTGGTCCAGGCCAGACACTTCATATGTCTTTAGGTCTTGATCTGAGCACTCGTCTAACTACTAAGAAAGCTCGAGAGACTTTTCTTTCTGAGCTATTGGCTACTGGTCTTATTTCTCTTGGTCAGTTCTAAAGGTCTAAGGGGAAGATCTTTTCTTACTCTTCAGCTCCCGGTACTTGCAACCTTTTTCTGCCGAAAGAGAGTGAGTGCAAACCTTAAGGGGTCGTGATCACGGAATGAATTAGGCATCGATCCTTCTAGCAGTAAGGGTGAGGCTTAGGTCAACTAACACAAAAAGATACAGTTCAATCAACGATTGCCTTTGGGCTACAAACTCCATATGGGGAATGAGCGTTTAGCTCCCAAATTATCTGAAACTTCATGTCTCATACTACCATTTTAAGGGTATTAAAATGTAAGAAAAACTAAGATAAAATCTGTTCTTTTTTATAAAAGTGGTGTCCGTATCAGCTTGTGTGGATGCAACTCTTCGGAGCATAGATATATATGTAAGAACTCATTAAAATTCCATCAAATATTAGATTTGAAACCATAATTTTAAATGTCCAATAAGTTCAATGCCAAGAATCAAACTCATCAAGTTTAAATCTTAATCTGCCTCTGTCATTAATCACTAGGCATAATTATCATAATAGAAAGAAAGATAGGATCTTTCTCCATTTCACATTCACAAAAGCACCATTTCGCAACAAAAATAAACCTGAACTTACAATTCGAACACATTTAAACACAACCATAAAAAAAAGAAGCTGAAATAATGAGCAGAAAATTACTTGGCAAAGGCGAACAGCGAGGGAAGCAGCTTTCTTGGCAGCAGCAAGTTGTTTATCGTAAGACATTGAAGAAGCCCTTAGAGGAGTTTTAGATGCTTTGAGAGAGAGGGAAATAGAAAGGGAGAAAAGGGAAAGGGGTTTCGTATTTTTTGCTAATGGCAGGGTTCGTGTTAAAGGATTTATAGTCCCAGATGACACTGCGAAAGTAGCCATGTCCAATTCTTGGAGTTGGTGGCAAATGGACAAATGGGGCTTACATTTGCTTAGGCCTGTGCGTAAATTTTATTATTTGCCAAAAAACTTAAAAGGAAAAAAAAAGAAATATATGAAAACTCCATATATGTACTTTTTGTAAAAAGATAAAAATGAAAATATTTGCATAAAAATTAACCAAACGTTTTTTAGGGTAAAAAGCATTTATACCCCTAACTTTATTTTAAAGTTAAACTTTCTCCTCAATTTTGAATAATAGACATTCTTTCCCTCTTATCCTACAATGTATATTTTGCCCTTCACTTGTTTAATCATCTATCTATGCAAGACAAAAGATTGATAAGGCTAAAATAGGTATTTAAGAAATTGACATCCAAAGGAAAAAATGTCTATTGTTCAAAGTTAAGGAGAAAGTTTAATTTTAAAGCAAAGTTAAGGGGTGCAAATAATGTTTATTTCCCATACGGTATTGGATAAAATGGGCAAATGGCCATTTCTTACGATTAGCATTATATACGATAAAAATCGGAGGGTTCAATTTTTGGTCATTACGATGCTTTGTAGGCACGTTTCCAAAGGTTTGAGACATTGGTTGAGGTTCACATCTGAGGGGTTATCGACGTCTGACCTCGGGGCAGTGCGGATCGGTAGTTATGATGGAAAAGCGGAAGTTCCTAAGTCACGTGATTAAAGTTGACCAAGTCTATTTGGCTAGTTCAAGCCCGTACTGTGGCATTAAATGGTTGTACCAGCCATATATCTTTATAATAAATGCATTTATACTATGTTAGGATTCCCCCTCATATATAAAGGGGATCTTTATCATTTTGTAATACATATAGAACACTGAATACAAGAACATTCTCTCTTGATTCTATTATTTATATTTGTTGCTTGCATTTATTCTATTCTATTGATTATTCTTCATATATTGCTCATTATTGGTCATAAAGAGCCTTCATCAAAGCTCTCAATTAGCCCTTCATCGGTTGTCCATAGCTTAGAACCTAGATCGACCTAGAGGCCCCGATTCTCAGTCCCTCGGTTTGCTTAACATACTGCTTTCGGACTCTTATCTTATTTTCTAATCTCACACTTAGTATTTATTGCCTAACAACTAGCATAAAACAGATCACGTATTTTTAGAACCACAAAATCAAATTTAATTGTAATTACCATTTTCAAGGTAAACAGTTTGGCGCCCACTGTCACACCTCCTTTTTGCGTGCCCGCCCCGAAGGGTTAAATGTGCGAGGGAGTTTTTCCAATTTAAGTGACAATATTCGAAATGAGATTATTTATTTAATTCAGAGTCGCCACTTGGGAAAGGTTTGGTTTTTGGTGTCCCAAGTCACCGGTTTATCTTGAATCCCAAATCGAGGAAATTTTCGACTTTNTGTCACACCTCCTTTTTGCGTGCCCGCCCCGAAGGGTTAAATGTGCGAGGGAGTTTTTCCAATTTAAGTGACAATATTCGA